AAATTTTTTCCGCAATTTTTCCTTTGTTGACTGGCCTAGATGTCAATTTTAAACTTGTAATTGAGCTAAAAGTTATGGTAATATATTCAATTTATTTTACTATAAACTTTCATAAATCTTTATCAAAAATTTTTCATCAACTTTAAAGAACCAAAAAAATAGGTTAAAATTGAAAATTTGGACTGATTATTTTTAACATATTAAAAATCAAATCAGTAATAATTTGAAAACAAATTTTTTTTTTTTTTTAATTATTATTTTATATATAATTAGTAATAATATAAAAAAATTAGAAGTGATAGAAAAAGTCTAATTGCACATTTTAAAACAACGCGAAAAGTTAATTTAGAAAAGTATATGTTTGCTTCTGATGAAAATTCCTTGTAGTCCAGTGCATTTATTTATAGTAACAAACAGTTGGTATTGAAAATTATTTTATCAAGCCCTTTAAATTTTTATACACGTAAAAGTAAAACAAAATATAACTTCTTTATTATTTTTATAATTTCTCCGTTTAAATTACAATATTAAATTATTGAATATCAATTTCATACTAAATTTAATGATTATATTTAGTATTTATTCATATATTATATTTTAAAATCAAAGAACTACTAATCAGGATATAATTAAAGAAATAAGAGTTGATGTTGCTTTTGGAATAATCCACCAATTTCCTACTTTAAATAAAAAAAAATTTGGTTAAATTTTTTTCTGCTATTCGCCAAAATTACTCCTTCGTTGACTAGAATAAATCATTAAATTGAAAATTTTATGAGAATTAAAACAATGTTATTTTTAAGATTAATATGCAGTCAGGAAATTTTATAATTACTATTTACAGTATATTTATCAGAAAAACTCATTATTTTTTTGCATTTTTATTGTAATAGCGCATTTAAATAGAAATCATAGTAATCATTTCTAAGTAATTTTTGGTATTTAAAAAGATTCTAAAATTAAAATATCCAGAACTGAATTAATTTAAAATGATTTACTTTAACAAAAATAACCAATAAAAAAAAAAACACATCATAGTAAAATTAATACCTTCTCTTCGCATCGAAGCTAAAAAAGTGGTTAAAAAGACCTACTCAATAGCGTACTATAAAATTTGATTATAATTGTAAAAATCCATTGTTAATTCAGGAGAAACTAACAATCATTTTTTTTAGAAATTATTTATATAGCAACATGTTACCAAAAATGTTTGAATATTATAGTCTAGTAGTTGCACACACAAATACAGTAAAAAAATTATTAAATTACAAAGTAAAATGATTTAATTTTGTAGTTTATATATATATATATAAATGTACAGTTTTTTTTTAATGTAAGGAAAAGAGTTTCTCTTGATCATAACAATCAATCAATTCTTTTACATATTGAACAACCTGTTTGAGAATTCTAAAGTTAAAACGAAACTCTAGAAATAATCCTCTTTTCTTTCAATCTAGAGAAAAGAAAAGAGACTGCTATTTTACCATGATTAAATGTTAAAAGAGGGTAGATTAGAACCTTAATTAATTATGTTACTAGGGACTTATTAAAATTGTCCTTCTTACTAAATTGGTTTGGAAAAAGCATGGTTGTTTTAAATGTCACTTTAATACTATATTAAAACAAAATATACCTCCAGCTAGCATTGAGACAAGAATTATACCACATGACCATAGATCAGAAGGTTCAGCTTGATATGGACAATGTGACAAAACTTCTGGTGCTAAGTATGGACGAGTACCACAGCTATTTTCAAGTTTTCGGCGCTATCAAAAAATAAAAATTGAATATTAATTATAATTAAATTTAATAACAATTAATACACAGTTCAACGTTTATCTACTTTTCCATTACACATAAACATTGTTGCAAGTCCAAAATCACTGATTTTTAAATTGCCATGTTCATCTAATAATAAATTTTCTGGTTTTAAGTCTCTATGTGCAATACCATTATTATGTAAATAGTCCTAGTAAAATTGAATGTTATTTATTTAAATATTCACATCTAGTTATGTGACTTACTACACCATCAATTAATTCTTTAAATAGTTTTTGTGCATCAGACTGTGGCATCCCAACATCTGGTTCTAATGAAACAAACTAAATTTAATTACTATAATAATTCTTAATAATACTGAAAATATGAAAACAAACCTATTCTATCAAATAACTCTCCTCCAGAAGCATATTCTAAAAATATGTAAAAATTATCCTTACTATATCTTTGTCCAAAATATTTAATAATACTAGGATGTTTTAAACGACAGTGTATAGTTGCTTCTTTTTTTACCATTGATATGGCATCAGGATAATTTTTTAAATCTATCACTTTCATAGCCACAGTACTATTTGTATTTCGATTTATCAAAAGCTTCACCCTAAAAATTTTAGGCAGTTACTATTTGAAAAATATATAAATTAAATAAAAAATGTATATCTCTAAGAGTAACTGTAGAGCTAGTTTCAGATCGCTGTGTCTTAATGTGTAAGTATTGAAATTCTATTTTATACTACTGGAGCTGTACAGGTTTCCTGTTTTAATATGACAGTTTAATTTCTTGGTTGAAAGGATGTTAAAAATATTTTATTTAGTATAACAAAAACCACAATACAGGGTGGCCCACCACTCATTGACAACTTAAATAACTTTTGATCCAGTTAATATTTTTAGTTGATTTTTTTTTTAAATAATAATTATACGTTAGGTCTATACCTATATCTCAATAATTAATTTTTTTACATTTTATTAAAAATATTAATTATTTTTAAATTTTAAATAAAATGTCAAAAAAAATAATCTAAGATAGCTATTTTGTAGAGTAGAATTTAAGAAAATTTTTAGTAAAAAAATATCTTATTAATATTCAGTAGTAAATATTCTGTAGCGTTTTGAAGTTTGTAAAAATTTGAATTTTCATGTACTATTTTACGGTAATAAACATTGAAATACGTATTGAGAAAAGGACAGAAGAAAACGCTATCTTTTCATGATTACTGTGTATACATATGATGATAGTGTGTATACATTACAAACTTGGCATTAATACCATGATAAGAAATTAGATAAGGCAATTATTACTTATCACTCTCATTCAAAAGTATATTGAAAAGATAGCGTTTTCTTCTGTCCTTTTCTCAATACGTATTTCAATGTTTAATACCGTAAAATAGTACATGAAAATTCAAATTTTCACAAACTTCAAAACGCTACAGAATATTTACTATTGAATATTTTTAAGATATTTTTTTACTAAAATTTTTCTTAAATTCTACTCTACAAAATAGCTATCTTAGATTTTTTTTTGACATTTTATTTAAAATTTAAAAATAATTAATATTTTTAATAAAATGTAAAAAAATTAATTATTGAGATATAGGTATATACCTAACATATAATTATTATTTAAAAAAAAAATCAACTAAAAATATTAACTGGATCAAAAGTTATTTAAGTTGTCAGTGAGTGGTGGGCCACCCTGTATTTATTTTTTTCTTCAAATTACTCATACTTTATCTTTTTATATACACCATTATATAGAAATAAAATTTTATTTTAATGAAACTTTGAAATACTACAAATTAATGAGCCCAATGAAAAAAAACAATAAATTATAAAAGGAAGACAAAGATTTAAGATAATTTGAAACTGTTTCTAACAGTCACAGTTACAGAGTAACAGATGTCCCACTCACTCATAAAATTAGAAAATAATAATAATCAATTCCCTGGATTGAAGATATCCATATTTTACAAAGAGTATCAGAATTAACTGTAGATTTTAAATTCTTTCTAATTTTACCACAAAAAAACATGAGTTATATATTTCTGTGTTCATAAAGACTTCCAAATTAAGTGTAAAAAAATAATATTATGCTTGTGATCACTTCGGTTGTGTCTACAAGTGTGAATTTATTTATGTATTTTTATAGATATATTATGTCAAAAGTGTATGTGATGAACCTAAAAAAACTGGCAGATTTAAAGAAAGAAATGCATATGAAAATTACCGAAGTGAATACATAAATTTGTAAATGTTCCCATCAAAATTTTGTAGAGCTAATTCATGCTTGTAAACACTGTTGTGTAGTCCCTAGTTTTATATATTAAAGAGGTGGGCAAAAACTGCCCATGCACTAAAACCTTTAGGTCCATTTTATGCATCTCATATAGATTATATTAATTCAGTTTCTTTACATAAGTGTTTCCTCCCAAGTGTTTTTATCATTATTTTTATACCTATCACTATACACAAAGTGATTTGGTTATAATTAACCACTCTATAACTCAAAAATAAATACAGTATTGGAAAAACAATTTTTGATTTTTTTTAATTACATATAATTCTTGTATTATCAACTAATATTTACCCTTAATCATCCTTTATAACTTAAAGGAAAGTTAACTTTATATTATTAAATAGCAACATACATAATCATGTAGTGGTATAACAAAAGAAAATGAAAAATAAATCTTGCAAAAGTAAGAGAAAAAAGGTCATAAGATCATCACTATGTAAGGTATAATGAGAGTTGCTAAGAAGGTGCTATTGAGTTATGATGATGTGAAAAAGGTGGAAAGAGTATTTTGAAAAATTACTGAATGAAGAGTATACAAAAGAGACATTAAAGGATATCTCATGGTACGAAGGACTGGTAGATTTTATTCGAGAGAAAGAGGTATGGGAGGCTGTGGCATAGTCTTTCATACTTAAGTATTATTAGTATTACTCTGTTAGGTCTTTATTAACATAATGTTATATAATTTTGTTATTTTTTAATAATATTTAAAGAAATTAAAGACCTGGAGTAATTTCTAATACATCTTTTACTAAAGACTTACTTATTAGTAAATCTTAAAATATATAAGTAAAAGTGAAAGTTAAAAATAAATCTAAAAAATAATCTATGAATAGTATATTTTCAACACAATAAAATATTATAAATAATATATTCAAGTTGACTAACAGATCTTAAAGTAGGACTTGAATTTTTCTGATGTCATTTTAAAAATAAAGAAAAAAAAATGTACAAACTTTTTTGATTTAATCAAAAGATACCAATTTTACATAAAAAAAAATATTTAAACTAAAAATAAAATTTAACATACTCTCCGAATGTTCCTTCTCCCAAAGTTTGTGCTATTGACCATCCTTCAACAAATTCGGCGCTCATTTATTTTCTTTAACTTAATAAATTTTTAATTAATTAATTACAAATCTAAATCATAATATTAAAAATTACAGATATTTTTTCTTTTTATTAATACCANATATTTTTTTACTAAAATTTTTCTTAAATTCTACTCTACAAAATAGCTATCTTAGATTTTTTTTTGACATTTTATTTAAAATTTAAAAATAATTAATATTTTTAATAAAATGTAAAAAAATTAATTATTGAGATATAGGTATATACCTAACATATAATTATTATTTAAAAAAAAAATCAACTAAAAATATTAACTGGATCAAAAGTTATTTAAGTTGTCAGTGAGTGGTGGGCCACCCTGTATTTATTTTTTTCTTCAAATTACTCATACTTTATCTTTTTATATACACCATTATATAGAAATAAAATTTTATTTTAATGAAACTTTGAAATACTACAAATTAATGAGCCCAATGAAAAAAAACAATAAATTATAAAAGGAAGACAAAGATTTAAGATAATTTGAAACTGTTTCTAACAGTCACAGTTACAGAGTAACAGATGTCCCACTCACTCATAAAATTAGAAAATAATAATAATCAATTCCCTGGATTGAAGATATCCATATTTTACAAAGAGTATCAGAATTAACTGTAGATTTTAAATTCTTTCTAATTTTACCACAAAAAAACATGAGTTATATATTTCTGTGTTCATAAAGACTTCCAAATTAAGTGTAAAAAAATAATATTATGCTTGTGATCACTTCGGTTGTGTCTACAAGTGTGAATTTATTTATGTATTTTTATAGATATATTATGTCAAAAGTGTATGTGATGAACCTAAAAAAACTGGCAGATTTAAAGAAAGAAATGCATATGAAAATTACCGAAGTGAATACATAAATTTGTAAATGTTCCCATCAAAATTTTGTAGGGCTAATTCACGCTTGTAAACACTGTTGTGTAGTCCCTAGTTTTATATATTAAAGAGGTGGGCAAAAACTGCCCATGCAGTAAAACCTTTAGGTCCATTTTATGCACCTCATATAGATTATATTAATTCAGTTTCTTTACATAAGTGTTTCCTCCCAAGTGTTTTTATCATTATTTTTATACCTATCACTATACACAAAGTGATTTGGTTATAATTAACCACTCTATAACTCAAAAATAAATACAGTATTGGAAAAACAATTTTTGATTTTTTTTAATTACATATAATTCTTGTATTATCAACTAATATTTACCCTTAATCATCCTTTATAACTTAAAGGAAAGTTAACTTTATATTATTAAATAGCAACATACATAATCATGTAGTGGTATAACAAAAGAAAATGAAAAATAAATCTTGCAAAAGTAAGAGAAAAAAGGTCATAAGATCATCACTATGTAAGGTATAATGAGAGTTGCTAAGAAGGTGCTATTGAGTTATGATGATGTGAAAAAGGTGGAAAGAGTATTTTGAAAAATTACTGAATGAAGAGTATACAAAAGAGACATTAAAGGATATCTCATGGTACGAAGGACTGGTAGATTTTATTCGAGAGAAAGAGGTATGGGAGGCTGTGGCATAGTCTTTCATACTTAAGTATTATTAGTATTACTCTGTTAGGTCTTTATTAACATAATGTTATATAATTTTGTTATTTTTTAATAATATTTAAAGAAATTAAAGACCTGGAGTAATTTCTAATACATCTTTTACTAAAGACTTACTTATTAGTAAATCTTAAAATATATAAGTAAAAGTGAAAGTTAAAAATAAATCTAAAAAATAATCTATGAATAATATTTTTTCAACACAATAAAATATTATAAATAATATATTCAAGTTGACTAACAGATCTTAAAGTAGGACTTGAATTTTTCTGATGTCATTTTAAAAATAAAGAAAAAAAAATGTACAAACTTTTTTGATTTAATCAAAAGATACCAATTTTACATAAAAAAAAATATTTAAACTAAAAATAAAATTTAACATACTCTCCGAATGTTCCTTCTCCCAAAGTTTGTGCTATTGACCATCCTTCAACAAATTCGGCGCTCATTTATTTTCTTTAACTTAATAAATTTTTAATTAATTAATTACAAATCTAAATCATAATATTAAAAATTACAGATATTTTTTCTTTTTATTAATACCAAAACAAGGAAATCACTCAATTTATTAACAAATGAATCATTGTATATAAATTATAATTTATTATTAAACATGTAAAATTTACATCAATTGCTAAGAGTGGAGTCAGAAAAATTTAAAGAATCCCATTAAATATTCTATGCAATATCATGATAATTGTAACAAATAAAAATTTTGGAATTTCAATGATTTTCTGGGTTTTTAAAACAATCAATGTCAATCATGAATTTTGTTAAAAAAATATTAAAACAATTAATTAAAAATAATAAATTTCTGTTTTTCCATAATTTTTTTCGTCTGAGTAATGAGTATAATATATATTTTATGTATATTTATTCTACTAAGTATGGTATGATATTTACTAAACTAGCTTAAACATTATAGTTCTTTAAATAATAAAATTCATTATCTTTATCAAAAAAATATGTAATATTTTGTAACACAATTCCTAAAGCAACAACAAAAAAATCACTACATTAAATAAATAATCATATGTTAAAAGGAGTTTAACACTACACAATAGACCATTAGTAATGTCTCAGTTAAATGAATATTCAGTGTAAGCAATACTGTTTTATCAAGATAAAATTTTGAAATAGTCATGTTTTTAAAATGTAATAAAAAATAATATTGATTTTTAATGGAAAATTTACATAACTCTTTTTATTAATAAAATTTAATAACTTTTAAATTTTAAATTTCATTTAGAGCAAGAATGACCAAAGAATACTTTAATCATATTACTCCAAAATAATATATATTAAGTCAGTAATAATTCTTATGATACGATTAGATAAATAAATAAGCCCAGTAAAATAATTTTAATAACATCAAGTACGATCTTACCTTTAATGATCAAGTTAGAATAAAAGCACAAATATAAAAATGCAACTGTAAGAAATACACATGTGATTATTATTAAATTTTTAAGCACACAATGTCAATATTAAAAAATACTAGAATTAAAATGAGACATAACAATTATATCCGTTAACTCTTTTGAGTTTTAAAAGTGTAACCTTAAACTTTAGGTTAAGCACGGCTGGTAACACGAGATCCTAAATAAAAACATTAAATTATATATATAAAGGTTATGTCGTTATCAAACTAAGTTAATTAACAAATTATGATCTTGGACACAGATTACGATTTTATCTATATTGGCAACCGATTTTTTGTTAATTTATACCCGTAAAGATAGCGCTATATATCCTCTCGGAAATATTAAATATTTAATAATAATTGTCCAGTTAGCTGATATTCAAGTAATAGTCACGATTATTGATGTACGGCTAACACCGTTAGGGTAAATTAAGATAAGAACCAGTAATTATTAAAAGGCGATTGCTTATTTGATTTAAATGAAACTTTTCGTTTTAAATACGAATTCGATGAAACATGTGTTTTTAATTTTATTAATATTGATTTAAATTTGACTATTATTTATTTTTTTTAATTTTCTCTTAGTGTTGAAAATCTTAACTTATTGCATAACAATTCTCGCTACCGATTTGTCCACTATCAAGATTTTTATATTATTTGGTGTTTAATTTGTTAACTTAACAGTATTCAAGTTTAAATGAGATATTTATTAATAATTACACATTTTATAAGGTTTTCATGTATAAAATTAGTAATTTATTTTTTTCAAATATACAATGAAATATTAAAAAAAAAAACAAATTTTAAAAATATATAAATTAAAATGTGGGTAATATCTTACAACACACAATTATTTAAATGGCGGTAGACTTTTATTAAACAAAATTATAACACTAAAATAGACGTATAAACACTAAAAGAAAATATATGTATATACAGTAAGGAAAAATAAAATAATCGAAGTAAACATAATACACGATGACAACAGCGGCGGGGTGTAGCGGTCGTGTAGCGTATCGCGGACTAGACAGTCTGAACTGAACTAACTCACTGACTGATTCTTCCGATATATATATAGCTCCGATAAGGCTCTCGCTAATTCTAGAATATTCTATACCCGCGTAGGTTATCTTATGGCGTTATCGAAGTTTCTCGAAGGTTTTTGATAACGAGAACATTCGAGAATATTCGTTGCGTATGTTTTGGTCGCTACAAAAATATAATTTAAAATATATAAATTTTAAAAACAAATATTTTAGAAAAAAATATTCAAACAAATAAAGCAATTTTAACCAAAATTCAGATCATTAAAAATTATAAAATAAGAAGTTAAGATATGTTCAACCTATAAAAATATTAATGTCCTCTTAGAATCTTTAATTTATCTGCGAAGCCCATCTTATGAAATTTTGACTTCAAGTTAAATATTCTAAAAAGTTTACTATGTATTAAAGTTATNACTACATTAAATAAATAATCATATGTTAAAAGGAGTTTAACACTACACAATAGACCATTAGTAATGTCTCAGTTAAATGAATATTCAGTGTAAGCAATACTGTTTTATCAAGATAAAATTTTGAAATAGTCATGTTTTTAAAATGTAATAAAAAATAATATTGATTTTTAATGGAAAATTTACATAACTCTTTTTATTAATAAAATTTAATAACTTTTAAATTTTAAATTTCATTTAGAGCAAGAATGACCAAAGAATACTTTAATCATATTACTCCAAAATAATATATATTAAGTCAGTAATAATTCTTATGATACGATTAGATAAATAAATAAGCCCAGTAAAATAATTTTAATAACATCAAGTACGATCTTACCTTTAATGATCAAGTTAGAATAAAAGCACAAATATAAAAATGCAACTGTAAGAAATACACATGTGATTATTATTAAATTTTTAAGCACACAATGTCAATATTAAAAAATACTAGAATTAAAATGAGACATAACAATTATATCCGTTAACTCTTTTGAGTTTTAAAAGTGTAACCTTAAACTTTAGGTTAAGCACGGCTGGTAACACGAGATCCTAAATAAAAACATTAAATTATATATATAAAGGTTATGTCGTTATCAAACTAAGTTAATTAACAAATTATGATCTTGGACACAGATTACGATTTTATCTATATTGGCAACCGATTTTTTGTTAATTTATACCCGTAAAGATAGCGCTATATATCCTCTCGGAAATATTAAATATTTAATAATAATTGTCCAGTTAGCTGATATTCAAGTAATAGTCACGATTATTGATGTACGGCTAACACCGTTAGGGTAAATTAAGATAAGAACCAGTAATTATTAAAAGGCGATTGCTTATTTGATTTAAATGAAACTTTTCGTTTTAAATACGAATTCGATGAAACATGTGTTTTTAATTTTATTAATATTGATTTAAATTTGACTATTATTTATTTTTTTTAATTTTCTCTTAGTGTTGAAAATCTTAACTTATTGCATAACAATTCTCGCTACCGATTTGTCCACTATCAAGATTTTTATATTATTTGGTGTTTAATTTGTTAACTTAACAGTATTCAAGTTTAAATGAGATATTTATTAATAATTACACATTTTATAAGGTTTTCATGTATAAAATTAGTAATTTATTTTTTTCAAATATACAATGAAATATTAAAAAAAAAAACAAATTTTAAAAATATATAAATTAAAAT